GTTTTCATATACTATATTATTATATTGCTATGATCCTAAAACATATTTTTATGTTTTCATATAAAAATACGTTTTTTTTTCTTTCACATAGAAAAAAAAAGTTTTTTTACGTATAAAATATGTTTTTTATATATTTAAAATATACATTTTGTGTAAAATGTTTTTACGTAAAAACATTAAGAACGTGATAACATAACGTAAAAATATGTTTTAAGATCAAATCAAAACGACTTATATTTTTTACGTAAAAATGCGTTTTCATATAATATGTTATCACGTTAACGTTTTTAAGTAAAAAAAACGTTATATGGGTGAGGGATCAATCACCTATACGTAAAAAAAACGTCTTTAGTATGCTTTACGTAAAAAACATATTTTTACGTAAAAAAAACGCATTTTTACGTAAAAAAAATGCATTTTTATGTAAAAAAAACGCATTTTTACATAATGTTAACGTCTTTAGTTTGCTTTACGTAAAAAATATAAGTCGTTTTGATTTGATCTTAAAACATATTTTTACATTATGTTATCACGTTCTTAATGTTTTTACATAAAAACATTTTATACGAAAATGTATTTTTTAAATATATAAAACACATATTTTATACGTAAAAAAACTTTTTTTTTCTATATGAGAAAAAAAACATATTTTTATATGAAAACGTAAAAATATGTTTTAGGATCATAGCAATGTAATAACATAGTATACGAAAACGTATTTTTTTAAATACATTAAAAAAATATTTTATGTAAAACAAATACATAAAAAAAATACGTTAAAAATATATTTTGTTTTATTAATTTTGTTTTATTAATTTTTTTATTATTAATTATTATTAACTTTTTATTATTAATTATTTACGCTTTTATATAATATTAATTAATTTTCGGAATTAAATAACTAGTTTGGCTCTAGCCTAGTTGGTTAGAGCTTTGGTTGAATAAGGAGGGGGGAAGGAGGTCCCAAGTTCGAATCCTCTTCCCTTCATTCTTATCATTTTAAGACAAAATTATAAAAATGGTCCCTATGGTTTACCCAAAGTTGCGAATCCAGTCCCTTTATACTTGAAAAGACGAAAATACCCTTGCTAATTTAGTCCCAAACGGCTGAATACTAACGGCGTTAGTAAAAAAGGCCATCTGTGCAAGTTTTGCAAACCACAGGGGCCATTTGCATCAAAAAAAATTAATAGGGACTAACTTTGTTACTTTTGGCAAACCACAGGGGCCATTTTTGTAATTTTGTCTTAAATAAGGAATAATCGAAAAGGGATTTCTTGATTACATGGAAGAATAGGGAAAGCATTATCATTTCATCAAATAATTCTATCAATAATACACAGCTTACAAAATTACCAAACCGTACAAGATTATCTATTTTAACCACATGTGTGTTACAACTTACAAATTGGAGTTTTAACATTCTATTTCCACTAAGAATACACACAATATCAACAACAAACAATACATGATACATCCACACAGCTAATACCTAACTAATCATATCAACAAACACACCATCACAAATCACAACCACACAACAACCCCCTTCTTCCCTCTCAAACATTCGCCCCTATTTTCGAAACTTGCGATAACGCATTATCGTACTGTTTAACATTTCCTCTCTCAGCATTAAGCAACTGTTGTTCTTCATTCTCTTCTTCATTATTAAGACACGGAGGAATGAAGGATCTGAATACACGATCCATATTTGGAGATTCCTTTAACTCATGGCTCACGACTTCAAGTGCCGAGGACTCAAAAAACCTGTAAAATTTCTTGCTACAAACGAACGCGAAGACGAGAGACATTATCGGAAGTGGGAAGATGACTGGGGTGAAGTAGAACTGCTTTACTCCAAAGTAACCCACCATTGTGAGTTGGAACAGTAGTAATGAGGAGACGATGCGAACGTGGATGTGTGGCCACATCTTCCCGTAGCTCTCGTAGGATGGAACATAGACATTGAGTACCTGAAAGATCACGATATGACAACGCACTGTTAAGCTCCTAGATCTTTGTATTTTTAAATTTGATCGGTTTGCTAAGTAGGAAACCGATCAACTCTTTGTACATCCTACAGATAGTAGGATGTACAAAGAGTTTAATCACTTCGATGTGACTATAGAAAAAGTAGGTTATTATTTAATGACTTTAGTCTGTATTTATAAGTACAACTACCAAAAGATTTGTGTTACCTGATTACGGAAGACTAGCCATCCTAGTCCAAAGTATATTGCCCCAAATGGAATAATTAGAGGAGCAATGACCGAATAACAGATAACAATCGTGAGAATTAGCATGTCATTAGGAATTTTTGTTGCATATCCAAGATTTCCTGGAATCCATGCTTCTTTTATATCTGATTCAGTCTTGCAAAGATATTTCCTCTTCAAATGGAATACAATCAACGGAATTATTCTCGATAACTCCAGCCCATAACCAACAAAAAACCTAAATTTTAACACAAAATTAACATAAAAAATAAATCAACATAAATTCTTAGTTACAACTTACAATCTGTTTTGTTCTGTAGGAACTTTAACTTACTTGAGAGCCACGAAAGTGAGAAAGAAAGTAGCGTTGCCAGGAAGACTTGTTGCCAGCTTGTCAACTATGGAGTCAGGCTTTTCCTGGATATCCTTAAACGAATCGAAAAGGGTCCCACCAATTGTAACACCGATAAAAACATTAAGCACCGAAAAGTAAAAATATTTCCCCGACGCCGCCCTCTCCGCGTGACTCACAGTCGGAATCCCCTCCGCCTTCGACAAAAACAAGAGAAATTTCGGAAGCAAAGCGAGAAAAATAATAAGCGCAAGTTGAGGAAGATACGCCCCCAAAACTGTTCTAATCATATCCTGATCAAGAATCGGCTTCAAAAACGGAAGCAATTTCTTCAAATTAGGTAACGTCGTGAAAGCCGAAATCAACCCGATGGGAATCATGTAAAAACATATCGTCAAGAATACGATGAAATACACAACGTATTGTCGGATCTCCCTTGCGTAAAACGATTTCGGTAAATTCGTCCATAAAATTTGTCGGGGCTCCGGCGCGTTTAAAACCGTCCACGTGTCAACCATCCGGGCATGCACGCTTTGAGCCGCCGCAGCCGCCGTTACTCTATTAGTGAAGAACACCACCGCCGCCGCTTGTTGCTTCTCTTTCACCGTTTCTTTCTGCGCCGCCTCAAGCTTAGGGGTCAATTCGGTAATTTTCTCATTGTAGTATTCAATCGAATCCACCTTTTTACCAATGAGCCCAAGGAACCCGATTTTGTGGGTCGGAGTCGGAGCTTCCGGGTTCATCTCTTTTATGGTTTCGGCTCGGGTGAGTTTTTTCTTACATAATTGTAATTCTTCGTGGATTTTGTTGACTTGTTTGTTTTCAGTTACTATAAGTGATTTGTAGAAGGTATCGGGGTAGATTGATTTGAAGTATGTGTCGACTTGTTCTTGTGGAGAAAGGTCTTCCGATGATTTTGGAATGTCGCGGACTAAAATGGCGAATTGTTCGGCTTTTACTTCCGGTGACATTAATGCGGCGGCGCGTAGATCGGATACGTGTTTGTATGCTTTCCATAAAAGGAAATATGTAACGAACGATACCCAATAGCAAGCTAATACGAATGCCCATAATCGCGAACCGTGTTCCTAAAAGAAACAAGTGACGGAGTTTAATAATAGAAAGTTAATTGGAACATCACATCAATAAATTATAAATGTATATATTCAATATTCCAAAAATAAAATAACCAATTATCTAATTACTTATGTTATTTTATTAAAAGATAATACTAATAGTTACAATGTTATTTCTTACCTTCTAAAATATCTTACCTTCTAAAATATCTTAGCTTACGATAAAACATAACAAGTAAAGTCCAAAATTGGTCGCTTGGTATCTCAAAATTGAAATATCCATACAAATTTGTTCCTTTGAGTTACCAGCTATATTTACTCAAAACTGTATTTTTTATTTTTTGTGATAAAAATAGACCAAAGACTCGAACTACATTAATTTACTCTAAAGTAAAAGTAACATACTTCTGAAAAATATTTCTTAATTTTTTGATATTTCTTGATTTATAAAATATTTAATACATTAAAAGTTCTAAATATCATCCATGATATTTGATTATTCTAGAGCTCTTTTATATAATTTTTTTTTAGAGAAATTAAATATCCTCCTAATTTTGTTACTACAAATCCTCCTACCTAATTAAATGATTAGGTGTGTCATTTTATTATATTTAGATATCATTAAATGAACATTAAATGTGATATATGTCATCATTTAATTGGGCAGTAAGATTTTTAGAAACAAAAAGTAAAAGGATATTTAATTTCTCTTTTTTTTATGTTAGATATGAGATTTACTAACTTTGAGATGTGCCATCGAAAGCTTGTCTAGGTCGTTGAAAGCATTTTTCCCAGTTGAATCCACGACTCGGGCGATTTTTTCAGTGGTGGCAAGCGGCAAACATAGTGGTAGCAATACAATACCTGATAGAACAAATATCCCAAATGCTGGAAAAAAAAAAAAAAAGATAATTGATTAGCCTCTAAATTTGGTGTTTGACATGAATCAGTGTTTAATTTTGGGGTTAGAGTTTTGATTCACCACATATTCCTACAATTTTTTATGTTTTATGAAACAATTCAAATTAAAAAAATTGAACTAATCTTAAACGTCAACATGCTTTACACCAGATTATATTATTGTAAAAGTTGTTAACGAGTGAGCAAACGTCAAATCGAAGTAACACTAGCTCGAAAAATCCAACTGAGATTCAAAATTATAATATGGAGAGAGAGAGAGAGAGAGAGAGAGAGAGAGAGAGAGAGAGAGAGAGAGAGAGAGAACCAGTGCCCAAGAAGACGAAGTAAACAGCAGAATCAACTCCAGACAAGGCAATAACATCATCTTCAGAAGAAGAAAAAGCTTCACGGATCCAAGAAAACGGATTACGTGTCTTCGATCTGCTTCCCTCCCATGGATCCATACCTTTAAGGATCCGATTCGGGTAATAAACAACTGTGTTCCCTGGTTTCGTGCACAACCAGCCGAACAAAATCATCAGAATGACGAAGATGATGAACGAAGTAGTCAAGGAAGTAATAAACGAACTCAAATCCATCGCTCTCCTTCTCTAAAATCACAACTGTTCTCTTCTGTATCACTCTCTACGAACACACAGTTATGAATTTCATTCGAATCTGTTTGAGCAAATTAAAGGGTAGTTGAAGAATAATAGTTACCGTTGGATAAGGGAAAGTGAAGCAAGGTGTAGGTTAAATAGAGTATACGTAAAGGTGAGGGCCTCAATGGGTACACTGTACAGAGGTGCAATCATGGCTGTTTTCGCATCGATGGTGGGAACTCAAAATATCAATGTCCTCCCCTTCCCCCTTGCTATAAAATAAAAACTTCGTCGGCAGCATCACATGTTACAAAAATAAGCATTGTAAATTAGGACCTTAATTTTGATCCATTTGCAAATTATAGAAATATAATAATCATATTTAATTGTTTTTTTATAGACATAATTAACTAAAATAGCAATGAGAAAATATTAATTTTTTATTAAAGTGGATAATAGACAAATTGAAACATGTTTTTGTATAAAAAATAATAATATCTTTTTTTTTCTTTTTTATTTATCCTCTTACTAACATATGAAATCTATTATCCACCAATTATCTTTTATAATCTTCTTTCTTAATTTTTATATTTTTATTTTGATTTAGTAAGCATAAAGATAAATATTAACAAAAAGTAGCACAATATTTGATTTTTCCTTTTTAAATAAAGTGTTTAAAAATTATAATAAATTTTATTTTTATTTTCAAAATATCGTTATGACGATAATAACCATTTCTCACACATAAGGTATTTTAAAAAGAAAAATATAGTTTGTTATAGGTTGCAAACGAGTCAAACGAATATAGCTATTCGTTAGCTATTCAAGATCGACTAGCTAAAAGCTTAACTCGAGATCGATTTTAAACGAGTCTAAACCGAACTCGAATTTAATATTAGGTTTGTTTATTAAACTAGCTTGAGCTCGAGTATGTCTTACTAAGCTAGGGGTGGCAAATCGGGTCATCGTGTCGTGTTTTTGTCTGACACGACACGACACGACAATGTTTTATGTAACACGAACACGACACGACACGATTTCGTGTTGTTTTAACTAACACGAAAACGAACCGATTAAAAAACGACAAACACGACACGAAAAAGATAACATAATAAAAAATTAGTTTATTTAATTAATATTTAGTCATACAAAACACGACAAACACGAAAAATACGACAAATAAATGCTAAATCTTGTCAATTTCGTGTTGAGTTTTAAACACGAACACGACACGACACGGCATCGTGTTTTTTACACTTAGCACGAACACGAATTTTAATTTCAGTTTCGTCCCAATTTCGTTTCGTGTCGTGTATTTTTGTCGTGTCGTGTCAACAATTGTCACGACACGAAAAATACGACAAACACGAAAAATACGACAAATAAATGCTAAATCTTGTAAATTTCGTGTCGAGTTTTAAACACGAACACTACACGACACGACATCGTGTTTTTTACACTTAACACGAACACGACACGAACACGAATTCGAATTTCAGTTTCGTCCAAATTTCGTTTCGTGTCGTGTATTTTTGTCGTGTCGTGTCAACAATTGTCACCCCTATACTAAGCTCGATTACGTCCATGAACTTAAACGAGTCTACATATAATAATAAAAAAATATTTTTATTTTTATATATTAAAATTAGCAATTATTTAATAAGTATAATTTTAAGGAATTAGGATATTTGTATACGAGCCGAGGTCGAACATGTATAAATCTTTACAAGCCAATCTCAAGCTCCATATCATAAGGATCGAAACGAACCGAGCTCGAGCCTAGTCAAACTCGTGCTCGGCTCACTTTATTTGCACCCAAATATATTTTGTCTTTTTTTAATTTAATGATATTTTTAAGGGAAAATTACTAATCTAACCAAATTCATTAATGACTTCTCATTTTTTAACCAAAAATTAGGATTTGTCCCAAACTAGCCAACGAAACCGTAGGTGGTTAAAATGACCTACTGTTTCGCCCATTTACATACTGTTTTGGTTTTAGTATATAAAGATTTTTTTTTCATTTTTCATTACGAAACCGTAGACGAAAAAATGGTCTATTGTTTCTTCTGAGAAGTCTACTGTTTCCCAAAGAGTAGATTAAAAATGATCTACTGTTTCGTCCAAAAATTATTGTTTTTTATTTTTATTTTTATTTTTTTTAAGATGGAAAAAAAACACTAACTTTTACTCTAAAAGAGATTTTTCTTTTAATATATAGTAGGTATGATATAGTAGTCAAAATACATGAATTAGTAGTCAAATACTAAAAAAAAAACCCAAAACCGTAGGTTTTAGACGAAACAGTAGATCATTTTTAATCTACTCTTTGGGAAACGGTAGACTTCTCAGAAGAAACAGTAGACCATTTTTTCGTCTACGGTTTCGTAGTGAAAAATGAAAAAAAAATCTTTATATACTAAAATCAAAACAGTAGGTAAATGGGCGAAACAGTAGGTCATTTTAAGCACCTACGGTTTCGTGGGCTAGTTTGAGACAAATCCTAATTTTTTTGGCTAAAAATTGTTAATCACTTACTTAATTTGACTAGATTAGTAATTGTCTCTATTTTTAAAACACTTTATGATGCCGTTATAGTTTTTTAGTTCATAGTTTGATAATCACATATTTCTTTACTTTTTTTATAGCATTAGTTTGTTATCTAAAAATACATAATTAGACAAAATTAAAAAAATAGTTCATGTGGTTGACAAAATCGATCAACTTTAGTTCTTATGACGAATTTTTGGCATAGATGCTCCCTGTGGTTTCAAAATCTTACAAAGACGGTCATTTTTACTAAATGTGTTAACTTTTTCAGTTAAGTCCCCTATAAATGACTCATTTGCCCTATCCGCCATGCCATAGGGGCCATTTATGTATTCGGTCCCATATTATTAAATGCATCATATCTGACACGTATTGTGATCCCCTATATATATTATGTCAGAAAGATTGTCCAGAAAACCCATTTTGTACTCTATTTCAGACATCGTTTCGGATTTTGCCGTTTTAGACTATTCCAACTTTGAAAAATGTTTTCTATCAGTGAAGAGACCCAACATTTGTAGGTATATATCGATTTTTTGTATGATTATAGGTGATTATATGTTTAAAATAAAGTTGAAGTGTTTTTAGTATGATTATATGTGATTAATTCCAATTAATCACAATTAACCATCGAAATCGAAGAAAAACACATTATTTCCCATTAATCACATATGATCATACAAAAAATACTTCAACTTTATTTTGAACATATAATCATACAAAAAAGTGACATATACCTGCAAAATGTTTGAAATCTTAATTGGTAGAAAACATTTTTATAAGTTGGAGTAGCCCAGAAGGGAGAAGTCCGAAACACAGTACGTAATGGGTGTTTTGTACACTGGGCCACAATACGAAGTCAGATCTGATTCGTTTAATAATATGGTCAGGAATGTATGCAATCTAGACTAAATGGTTATTTTTCAAAAAAATAATAATTAAAAGTGGTTATTTAAAAATGCAATATAAAAGTTGTTAGATTACTCAATTTTCATATAAAAAAGGTAAACATTAAAAATGTATTCGAACAAAATATAAAAAAAACATTAATAAATGTATTCGAATAAAATGTAAAAAAATTTAAAAAAATAATAATTGAACAAAAACGTTAAAAAGTATAAGCGAAAAGATATAAACAAAAATAGAAAATTAGAAACGTGAAAAAAAATCTAATTAATAAAAATATAAAT